GTAAAATGTTTTTGGACTTGAATTGAATTTATTCAAAGTTTTCAAAAATAATTCAAAGCCCATTTAAAAGTGGAATTGAGCACAAAATGATTTTCTGGACAAATAGTACCGATTCTGTTCTTACAGTATCAATACCTCATGAACAATACTGATATTGTTCATATGGTACCGATACCAAAGGTAAGGGAAATATCGATACTCACTAGGTAGTATTCGATACTATCGATATTGTTCATATGGTATCGATACCAAAGGTAAGGGAAATATCGATACTCACTAGGTAGTATCGATATTACCAACATTGCTCAAATTTCAGAATGCAAAAATGGTACCGATACCCAAAGAGGTACCGATACTACTCTACATAGTAGTATCGATACCATGAGCATAGTATCGATACCATCAGGCCCCAACGGCTCATAACGGCTAGTTAAATTAAATATAACAAAGGTAGTGCTGATACTCCCTTTAGGAGTACCGATACCCTCTGTTCTGGGCAGCTTTATTTTGCACGCCATTTGATCCCCAATAGCTCCAAAACACTCTCAACGGCTAGAAACGGTCACTACAACATTCCAACATATAAATACAAGTTGAGGACACTTGAAGAAGGGTTAGAAACACCTATCCAAGCAATCAAACACAAGGGAAGATTTTTTTCATTCTTATTTTCATTCTCTTGTAAATATTGTGTTTGTGCGAACTAAATTCTTGTAAACATCCTACCTTTGAGAGGTTTATTTGTTTACTTATTTTTACCTTTTGTAAAGGAGTTTTGTTTCTATCTTAGCCAATTCAAAAAATATGGAGTTTTAAAGGTTATCTCTTGATCCTTTAAAAAGAAAGAACAAATTAGTGAATTTGTTAGAAAATCCTTAGTGAGGAGCTAAGGTAGTGGATGTAGACTTGGTTGATAAGTCGAACCACTTTAAATCCTTGTGCCAAATTTTTTTTTCTATCTTTTGCTCTCCTTACTCCCTAAACTCATTTTTATCTATTCACCCCCTTTGCAACTCATTTTAGACTTGGATATATTGAATTTCATGTGTTACTAACATGTTTGTTACTATTTTTTGAAATTCAATTTTTTTTAAGTGTCAAGATTTTAAAGCTAATTTTTGTTTGGAATGCACTTTTTGAGGGGGAGCTTTTGATTTTTCAAATGATTTTATGATAAAATTTAACACTTACTCTCCAAAGTTATTTTAGAACTTTAAAGTTGAATTATTTTTTATATAACAAAAAGGGGAGAAGTATGGGTTTGAAAAATTCAATTTTTTAATGAAAAAGGGAGAGCTGAACATTTTCACATATTTTTCAACAATTGATATCTTTTTCATTAAACATTTTATTAAGGGGGAGTTTTGTCAAAAACAATTTTTCAAATATTTTGTTATATCAAAAAGGGAGAGATTGTTGAACTATATTTTGATATAACAATTAAGGCAAAATGTTTTTGGACTTGAATTGAATTTATTCAAAGTTTTCAAAAATAATTCAAAGTCCAATTAAAAATGGAATTGAGCACAAAATGATTTTCTGGACAAGTAGTATCGATACCTCATGAACAGTACCAATATTGTTCATATGGTATCGATACCAAAGGTAAGGGAAGTACCGATACTCACTAGGTAGTATCGATACTACCAACATTGCTCAAATTCCAGAATGCAAAAATGGTACTGATACCCAAAGGGGTACCGATACTACTCTACATAGTAGTATCGATACCATGAGCATAGTATCGATACCATCAGGCCCCAACGACTAGTAATGGCTAGTTAATTTAAATATAACAAAGGTAGTACCGATACTCCCTTTAGGAGTACCGATACCCTCTGTTCTTGACAGCTTTATTTTGCATGAAATTTGATCCCCAATGGCTCCAAAACACTCCCAACGACTAGAAACAGTCACTACAACATTCAAACATATAAATACAAGTTGAGGACACTTGAAGAAGGGTTAGAAACACCTATCCAAACAATCAAACACAAGAGAAGATTTTTTCATTCTTATTTTCATTTCTCTTGTAAATATTGTGTTTGTGTGAGCTAAATTCTTGTAAATACCCTACCTTTGAGAGGTTTATTTGTTTACTTCTTTTTACCTTTTGTAAAGGGGTTTTAGTTCTATCTTAGCCAATTCAAAAGATATGGAGTTGTAAAGGTTATCTATTGATCCTTTAAAAAGAAAGAACAAAATAGTGAATTTTTTAGAAAATCCTTAGTGATGAGCTAAGGTTGTGGATGTAGACTTGGTTGATAAGACGAATCACTTTAAATCCTTGTGCCAATTGTTTTTTTCTATATTTTGCTCTCCTTTCTCCCTAAACTCATTTTTATCTATATACCCGATTTGCAACTCTTTCGGTTGTTCAAATTGAGCCTCTTTAAATCCTAACAAGTATTTAGGTCTAATATAACCCTAAACCCTAAATCAAACATAATCACTTATTATTCACTTATAGTTGGTTAAATTTTTTGAAACAGTTATGTTTTGAGGGTTTAAGGTTGCTGCTTCAAGTTTAATTTGTTATGATAGATTTTAAGAATGAATTATGAATTTGGGTTGGGCATGTAATTGAAGTATTTTGGAATTTGAGGTTTAGAATGTAATTGAAGCATTTTGGATTTTGGGGTCTAGAATGTAATTGATGATTGTGTTGCAAGTTTTAAAAGTTGGGGGACTTAAATGCAAGCGCCTGAAAAGTTTAGTGACCATTTATATAATTTACCCTAATGGTAGTGAAATGACCGTTACATCGGGAACCATATTGCAAACGAACTAAATGTTTAGTGACTGTTTGCAAGTTTTAAAAGTTGGGGGACCTAAATGCAAGTATCTGAAAAGTTCAGTGACCATTTATATACTTTACCCTAAAAAATAATAAAAGCTAAAATTTCACATACTCAAAATATATATTAAGGTTTTTTTTTTAATTAAAAGGGTTGGTAACGAATGTGGGTTGTAGAAAATTTTTATCCCTCAAAATTTACTTTACAACATGACCTTGGGGACATGCCATCACATATTGTATATAAGGGTGTATTCAGTTCGATTCGGTTTTTTACTAAAAATTGAACTGAACCGAAATAAATGGGTTTTTAGAATTTAAACCGAAATCGAATAGTTAAAATACTGAATTATGTGAAATCAATTTTTTCGGTTCGGTTCGGTTTTTTTTAACAGTCCAGTTTATCGGTTTTTCAATGAAAAATTCACTTGAAACTATAATTTTTTTTAAAAAAATTGTCTATTCGGTTCAATATGGAATAAATGGGTTCCATATGCCCGAACCGAACCGAATTAATAGAATTAAGACTTTAAACCAACCTGAAAACCGAACCGTATAAAATCAAAACAAATCAAACCGTTTTACTCGGTTCCTATCGATTTTTCGATTTTCTCAATTTCGTTCAACCTAATTGCCCAAGTGTGAAACAAAGCTTGCAATTGCATTCAAAATTCCATATATTTTTTTTCTTTCCTTCTCAGACCATTTCACGTGTTGTAAGAGCCACGTAACATCAACTCGGTCTTGTATTATTCTATTCCCTTACTTCCATAATCAAAAGCAACAACTGAATAAATTATGAAATATATGTTTTTGGTCCACAAACAACGTATCATATGTTATATCTCCCATGACTATCACGTGTTTACTATATATAGATCTTGAAAGGTTCAGATTAGCAAAGACAAACAACGTTTGCAAGCTACTGAAATGTCACTTTAGCTCCGCACTGTAACTTTCCATTACAAAACAGCAATCCAATGGCTGTGGATTTGGAGCAAAAATGTTTCTTCAGACACTACTTGTTTAATCCCGTTGTTAAACTTGATCATCTCACCTTAAGACATGACATTTTCTCTATTAAAAGTGGTTGTCTCGTCAGCAGTTGGTAGTTTATTCATGAGCGAAGAGTTTCAACTGATAAGAGAACGATCTTTTATCAATATTTGAGTGAAGAAGAAAATAAGTCATCACGAGGATGACAAAGACGATATTCAGATTGCGAGGGTTTCCAGTTCCTTTTCAGTCTTTGTTGAAGTATGATTTTAGTGCGTGCATCGATCGTAGGGTCATTATTGTTATTTGTAGATTAAAAAGTTAAATAGATCTAGTTGTTAGACCTTAAATTTCATTTTGACATATTTATGAACTTGTTAGAAGTCTTATCTATACACTATAATTGGCTATAAGTCTATATTACAAGTATGTATGCTGATTGGTGACTTTAATAAATGGAGAAATTTGAAAACCTTAACTAATAAAGAACTTATATTTTTAACATCTAATTTGACGGAGATTTTGGAGATTTTCAAAAACCCAACGATATAACATAAAGAAAGATAATTATATATATGTATGGCACATCTATCACTTTGAACATTTGATCCCTAAACAAGGATTAAGAGAGTTCATATTACAAGACCCGGTTGTTCTTAATTGGATTTGGACTGTTTTGGCTTGGGTCCACTATTATTGGCACTACCCTATGGTTGAATATGATATTGGAATTGAGTTATACGAATATAACCAATAGTATCCACATCAAATATGGGACTGATGCTCCCTCTAATTTAGCTTGTGAAAGATAAGGAGTTGGAGGAATGAGGAATCCATTTCCTCCGTTCTCCATCACTTCAACTTTTTCTACTATATTCCTTTGCATCTTCTTTTATCTTATTCTTTTTCCACTTGATAATCATAATTTAACCATTTAAGTTTTGATGTTGATAACTCTCAATTATTTGATATTAAATGCTTAAACTCTTAATATTCATGATGTTCGAACCTAAAATCTCGATAAATAATAATAATTCTTTTATCATCAAGATCAGTTTGTGTTGAATATGTATTACGTTATAATTACCATATAATATTAAAAAAATATAATTCAAGTTTAAAATTAGAATAAATTTATTCTAATTTAGATTACCTAAATCCAAAATAATATATATACAATTATATCCACTCATATTTTTTTCCTATTAAATAACTTCTCTCTCATTCTCTTCCCCCTTCTCTCTAGAGTCTAGCCATGGCCGACAACTTCTCATGTATAATAGGAGCCATGGATCGTCTTTGGTTTCACCAGACTGTTCTTTACACAGAACCCTTTTCACTATTTTCCCATAAAACCCTTAAGCCACAGCAGCCCTACTCGGAATCTCCCGGCGGCACAACTCCAATATCAAGCCGATCTGAATCATCTCTTGCAGAAGAAAATTTCTCAGCGTCTATTTGCCCTATCCCTGACCATGAACAATTAACTCCATCGGTAATAATAAAGATCCTCGACAGTGTTCAAATATGTTTCTCAAAGTTTAGGCTTTCACCGGTTTTTGATAACTTTGCTGTTGTTTTCATGGTGACTAATTCTAGGAAGAAGAAGAAGGTGAAGAAGAGAAAGTGGAGAAAAGAGCTAGAAGAGGGAGTGTTAGCTCCAGAAGCCGTTCACAATCTTCATCTCCATCATCTCAAAAGAATCAAAGGAATCACAGGCACTCAACTTCATGTGCAATAGGGGGTAAACTATGGAAATCCACGAGTTGTAAGAGCTTGAAAGAGTTGGAACTGGAAGAAGTAAAAGGGTTCATGGATCTCGGTTTCATATTCAAGAAAGAACATTTAGATTTAAGAATGATTAACGTTGTCCCCGGCTTGCTCAGGCTCGGATTTTTCGAAACCGATTCGAATCTCGCTGCCGATGGTATCGGAAAACAAGAGGAAAACGGTGTTATGAGACCGTATTTATCAGAGGCTTGGCTGATCAAAAGACCTGATTCACCATTGCTGAATCTGAAATTACCAAGGGTGTCTGCAGCTGCTGATATGAAGAAACATCTCAAGTGTTGGGCTCAAACTGTTGCGTACGTAGTACAGCAAGAATGCTAAGAGTAAATTAAGCCTAGCTGATGAAACTGTAAAAAGAGAAACTGTAATGAGAGAGAGTATATAAATAAAGATTAGCCAAAGCTCTTTTTGTCACCATTTTTGAACTGGAAAAATAGGATCTTTATCTTTTGTTCATCCGAATTGCAGAAGAGATAAGGCATTAAGAGGACTGTCCTACCAAGTTGTGGGTAAAAGACAGAATGACAAAAAAAGATGGGATGTAAGTTGTAACAGCAGACAAATGACACGAGTCCACTCAGTTTCTGTGTTCCATCTTCAGTTTTGTCTTCCCGGACTTGCAGTATTCATGTTTTTGACAAATCAAATCAGTCCGAATCACATGTTTTAACATATCAAATCGGAGACGAAAATGAGTTGTTTTTTTCTTTTACATGATCTGTTTTCATTACTATTTTTAATAAAGTAGTAGTTTTTTTGTCATGTTCAATCATTTTACAGTTTGGTGAGGCAGGCTTTAGACATGGCGTCCCATGCTAGCTATGTAAAACAAGTCGCATGTTTTGGCAGGGGCATTGCTTTTCAGTTTGGTCTACCAACCAATGCTTGGACAGGACACAATTTGCATTTATGGACTTCCCAGTGTCATATACGACTATGTTTAGCATCAATTAAAAGTTATATTTAATTACTACTTTCATTTTTCAAATTAATTTTTTTATTATCGATAGTGTTTAAATATATTAAACTATATTTGACGATAACATCTAAATTAATTAAACACACTTGTTAATATATTTAACTCACGATTTTAAAAAGTGTTAAAATGTCTGTATATATAAGGCTCAAAATGCTTTTATACCATGAAATCTTATAATGAGTATTAGCGGTGAGTGTTTGATCAAATTAAGTTGAATCGAATAATTTTTTTTTGAGTTATTCAAATTGAGAGATCGTAGAAAATTAAGATTTGAATATTTATGACTTAAATTGATGAAAGCATTACCTTATTCTCTCAGTATTTACAAATGAGGAGATAAAAATAATGAGTATTAGTAATGAGTGTTCAATCAAGTCGAGTCAAAAAATTCTAAGTTATTCAAGTTGAGAGATTGTAGAAAGTTAATGACTTGAATTTTTTCTGACTTCAATTAATGAAAGCATAACATTATTTTCTCAGTATTTGCAAATGAGGAGACAAAATATAATGAGTATTATATGTATGTGTTCGATCGAGTCAAGTCGAGTCGAGTAAAAAAATTTTGAGTTATTTGAGTTGATGAATCTTATTTTATAACTCAAATTTTATTTGAACTTTTTTTAATCAAATCGAGTTTATAAAATTTGAGTCGAGTTGTTTGAGTTTATGTCTAAATTGAATTGTAAATATTTATAATATTATGATACTGTTTGATTTTAATTTCTATAACCATATACAATACATATATATTTCTTCACATTTTTTTCATATGTGATATACATATATCATATAAAATTGAGGGATTCGACTCAAACTTGAAAATTAATCATCTAATTACTAAAATTTTTATGTTATTCGAGTTCTATTTTATAATTCGACTTGAATTTAAATTTTTTTAATCAAAAAAATTAATTTTTTGAGTCAAACTTTACCCAACCCTAATGAGTATACATTTGCCATCAACACCTCAAATTGATAAGATGGTTTGATCAAGGGGACATTTGGGCATATATATATAATGGGAAGTGGGTCCAAAAATTTTATTGACCCAATAGATTTGGACTAAAAATCAAATATATATATATATATAAGGGTATTCAAACGGTTAATTTGGTTATCGATCGAATCGAATTAATCATAATCGAATTAATAAAATTTTTATTTAATCGTTAATTGAACCGAAATTTATTTAAAAATTATTAATCGAACCGAACACATTTCGGTTAATTCGGTCAATTTTTAAATTAACCGGTTTTTTTTAAAATGTTATAATTTATATAAAAATTGAATATTTTTTAATTAAAAAACAGTTTACAATTAATTTAGATAACATCTAATTATAAAATAAAAAAAGGTCATTTAGTTTTGGATTTTCTTTAATTAATTAATTAATTAATTAATTAATATTGATTTAGGTTTAAAAGTTACTAGATCTTAAATTATCAATTATGTTTTAAATGGTTTGGGCTGAGCCTATATATTATATATAAAATATTTTAAATTTTAAATTTAATTTCGGTTAATTCGGTCAATTAAATAATTTCAAACCGAATTAACTGCTAACTGAATTCTAAAAAATTATTAATTGTTCCTCGATTAAACTAATTCGATGATCGACCGGGACTAATGGGGCTATTGGGATTCTTGTTGGTCACTGTCAAGTATTTGAGCATTTTGAGATTCAGTAGAAGACGAAGAGCATTTTGAGATTCAGTAGAAGACGAAGAGCGCCTAATGGGCCGTTTGAAGTTAAACCTAATTGGACCAGGGTTTAAACTCGGGTCTAATAGACTTGATTCGTATGGGTTGATTTCCATATTTGTGTGATAATATCACATTTAGGGGTTTTTTTTCGAATAGGCCATCCAGATTTTTTATTTAGCCTATTAAGGTACCAGATTTTTATTTTAAAGAATACAACAAATGTTATCGTCATATTAAAACTCATCATCTTAAGGTGACGAGTTTGATGTGATATATTATTTTAATAGACCACATCGATGTTGAACAAATAGTACCTTTTCTATGAAAAACAGCTTTCAAAGGTGCTTCTGACAGAGAGAACCTTTTCTATATGTAACAAAAAAGAACGATAATCTGAGAATTAATTAGAAAATAGGGTTAAAATAAGTATTAAATTTTTAATGAATGATACTTGAGTGAAAAAATTAAAAAAATATTGATGGTGATACGAATCATACGATGATTGAGTGGTGAGGGTTGATTTTGTGAATGAATTAGTTGAGGAAGATAAGATTTTTTAGAGTTAATTTGTTTTATTTAGAAATAAATTGATGTTTTAGCTATAGTTTATGATCCAAATTATATTAACTTTTGTTTTAGAGTTTGATTTATTTTAAATTAAGAATAAAAATCAAATTAACTAAAAGATATAGAATTTGATGATAGAAATATTATTATACTAAATTTTTAGAACCAATAAATTATTTTAGGATATTTTAGAAAATAGAATAACAATATCTACTTGATAAACTTTTATACCCATATGAATTAATAGTTTAAAAAATTCTAAATATATATTATCTTGTAATCATTTTATATTACTAAAAATAAAATAAAAAACCGAAAAAATCACAAAATCTCTAGCTTAATATGAACCACTCCTTTAACAAACTAGTTTTATAATCTCCCACTAATCATTTGGAAACCAATTACTTCCATCTCTTTTAAGTTAAACCACATAGGTCTCTTTTTTGGGTTTATAATGGTCTAAACTTTTAATTTTTACAAAATCATACTTAAAATTTAATTTTTATTTCATTTTAATATCAAAACTTAAGTGTTGAGAAAAACAAAAGTTTATATACCAAAACATGTTTAGTACCTCTACCATACTTAAAAACAAAAGTTTATGTAGTAAAACAGACTAAAACTGATAGTTTATATACTAAATGCATTAAGTTTTTAACAATGTGTATTAAAATGAAACAAAAACTAAGCAAAAATTTATGTAGTAAAACAGACTAAAACTGATAGTTTATATATTAAACGCATTAAGTTTTTAATGATAAGTATTAAAATGAAACAAAAACTAAACATTAGGTATGATATTGAAAAAATTAAAGTTTATGTAATAAAATAAATCAAAACTGATAACTGATAGCTTAGATACTAAATACGTAATTTACCCCTAAAAAATACCAAATGCAGACTAATGCTACTTCGTAACGGGGCGGCCGCGCGCGTGAAGAGAGAAGCGACCGAAAGGTCAGAGAAAGCGGCATAGTGGAGGCATCCAAATGCTTTTTCGTAACGGGGTGAAAAATATTCAGAAAATTACTTAAAAGGTAACGAAATGAAATAAAATGAATCACGTGGAACCCAACGTTCTCTTCTTCCAGAAACTCATTTGAGGATGGAGTCGGGCACCTAAGCTGTTCTTGCCGGTTCTGATTTACACACCTTGTCAGAATTAGAGGCCGTACGTTCCCCATTTCCTCTGTTTTCGATTCTTCATTGTTTCCATTTTTCTCTTCAATCTTTTTGCAAAAATCTGGGTTTTCTTCAGTTTCCGAATCCATTTGGGTTCCATGATTCGAATTTTCAGACATAGACTCTTTCTCTGATTCGGGTTTTTCTTCTTTAGATACTCTGTTTTCTATCTCTGTTTCTTGATTTGTTCCATGGCTGGCTAAAGGCGCCTCCCAAAATCTATAAGCTAAAGAAGAAGATCTGTACGGAGCAGATCGACAATGTGTTAAACTCAAAGCAATTTTCGGTGGCGATGAACAAGAAGAAGATGTGAAAATCTTAGCTTCCTCTTCATTTCCTTCTATTTTCGATAAATCTTCTCTAGCGTTGGGTTTTATACAAGAGCCGAAAAAGAACCTTCCCCATTTCTCCTGGGGTGTAACAAGAGGCTTGACTTTGACTTTCCCGGTGAAACTATGGCAAAACAGAGCATCGGCGATCCACTTGAAGCGGCCGTTGCCCGGTGGACCGGATTTCGAACGGGTTTGTTTGACACGAACCTGGCCCATGCAAGTAACTTTAGGAGAAGAAGGCTCTTGGATTTCATTGGCTGCGTTCTTTCTTTTAACGAACATTGGGCTGGAACGTGACCTTCCCCTGCTTCTACTTGCACTTTTGCTTCTCAAAAACCGCATCAATTGCGGCGGATACTTCTCCGGCCCACACGGACTCGATGTGGGCTTCGACGACAGCTTCATTTTTAGCTAAAAATAAACCTTTCTTCCTCTTTGAAGACTTCTCCTTTCTTCTCTGTATCTTTATCTATGCAAGTTCCTTGAGTGTTTTTGTATGAAGGTTTCTGGGTTTGGAAATTGAAAAGATTTTGTTCAGTGGCGTATTTCGTCTTTGTGTAAAAGCATGTGTGAATGAGTGTCTTTTCTTCTGGTAAGAAAGTGAAGAGGGTAATGCTGGACACTGCTCTCTGCTCACCTTCCTTGTTTGTTTTTTCTCTCTGCTTTTAGCTTGGTTTTATGTTTCTATTTGATATGGAAAAATTACACGTATAGTATCTAAACTATTATTTTTTGTATTTTGGTACCCAAACTTTAGTTCTTTCAAAAATCATACTTAACGTTTAGTTTAAGTTTTATTTTGATATATTGCCATTAAAAACTTAGCGATGATATTGACGTGTCACATCATTATTTGAAAAAAAGTAAAAAAATATTATATAAACAATTCTCTTAATTTTTTAACGATAAAATACCAATTAAAATCTATACTAAATATTAAATATGATTTTAAAAAGATAAAATTTAGGTATCTAAAATTATAAAAATTTGGTAAAAATTGAAGAAATGAACTTAAAATGAAAAATTAATTGAAGAAATGAGAAAATCATGTAAAGTTAAGAGTCTAAATTGAAAATTATAAAAATTGTTATAAAATTAAGAATTTGAGATATGTAGTTATTCTACAGTAGTTTAAGACACGTGATTCAAATTTGGTAAAAAATAACTTAAAATGAATGAAGAATTGAAGGAATAAGGAAATCGTGTAAAGTTGAAAGACTAAATTGAAAAAATGTATATAATAATTTCACGAGTTTATTATTATTTTAATTATATAATACTAATATTTTTATGCCAAATATAAATTTTTTAGTTCGAATACTTTTTTGTGTATGCTCTGCATTTGTAGTGTATCAAAAAACATGAACTCTTTTAAATATGATGTTCATAATTCTGATTTAAAAATAAATTATTTAATTTTTTGTATAATTTATTTATTTATTAAATTCGAACAATCAATAAATTGTTTATTTTAATTATTATAACATTAATATAAATTGCACTCTCAATAATATTTTTGGTGGATACTCCACATTTGTTATTTAATATGGATTTGATGTATAGAAATCATGAAATTTTAAAACATGATGTAAATATTTTTATTTAATTTTTGTAATTATTTAATTATTGTTAGTTTATTTATTATATGAGTATAATGAATATATTGTTTGTTTTAGTTATTATTCGATTGTAAAAAATAGAGAACAACGATTAGCATAGGACACACATTTCAATACATTTATCACAAATGAAAAACAAACTAATTTTATTGTCAAGGTTATTTTTATTTGTTATTTTGTTAATATACTTTTAATAAATAATTTATATAATTTTAACGAGAGAAAGATCGTATCTTTAATCTATTTATTTACCATACGAGAAAACATTCCTTAATGTCATTATCGGATATTTAAACCAGGTTAACTTTTTATATGTATCTCGGTTGGTTGTGAGGTTTTAAGTTAAATACATCATTTATTTTGACACTCATAAAAAGATGGAGATCGAAAATCATACATCTCTCATCTTTCGTATAGAGAGTGCATAATCACTTTTGGTAATGTTGCGTTTCAATGAAATCTCTTGATATATCAAAATTTGCTTAAGAAAACCCTATAAAAGTATAATGGTGGCAAAATCTATATTACATGACAAAACTAAAAATTTGATAAAAGGATGACCACTCAAAAGAGGATAGTAATTCATATCCTTCTTTATCGATCAATCTGCCAGTTTTATAGATTAACCGAAAATCGTTAATGTCACGACCGTCTTTTGGGTAGGCCTGGAATTGGGTTTCGACGTGAATGAATTGGATTAGAGTTGTCACCGATCACTTTAAAAACATTTAAGTAGATCGGACACCATCTTACCTGATCTACGTTTTACCAGAAATGTGTCGGGTTCGGGAGTCGGTTACAGTCAATGAAGGATTAGCACCCTTGAACAACCCTTTCGGTACCAATTAACTTGTCGGTTGTCTTAATTGCAAAAAAAATAAAATTTAAAAATTCGATTCGAATTACTTACCTTTGATCGATTGGAATTCTTCTAAAAAAAGAATAAAAAATGTTAGAGGAAATAATAATAATAATAATAATAATAATAATAATAATAATAATAATAATAATGAATATTACATAAACCAAATATAAAATAAAATAATAAATAGAATAATAATTCAAGGAAAAAGAAAGAAATAAAAATAAATAAATCAAAAAAAATTAATTAAAAAACAAATTAAATAAAACAAATTAAAAAATGTTAAATAAATTAAAGAAAAAAAGTGTTAAATTTTAAAAGTAGCAATACGAAGTAAAAAACAATTCAAAAAAGAAAAGAAAAGAAAATAAAAACTTAGAGGATTAAATTGAAACCAATTGAAATGAATGGATCAAATTGGAATTAAAAAAATGAGCTACAAAAACAAAGAATAAAAGGTTAGGAGGACTAGACAATAATTAATTCCAAATACCAAATAGTGACTAAAACAGAAGCATAATAAAATTGGAAATCCAAATCAGCATATGAATCAAATTTAGTAACCAAATCGTAAAGATTACAAAAGATAAAGCCTTTAGGATGCGAATAACCCCTAATGAAGACATGTAGGTCCCTTCCCTTTCATCTTTGTTGTTTCCACGTTTGGATATTAAGAAACACAAACTTCATTCTACCTTTTTCAACAAAACATAGAGATTTCATCTCTAAATAAAAGAGTATGTTCATGCCAGGGTTAAAGGGAGAGTGAGATCGACCGCCGCTCACCATGGCTATCTATCTTCAAAGGCTCGAAAATCCTTCTTCTCTCGATGAAAGAAGCGCGGTGCTCTCTCCAGACAAGGGAAGGCTTCGATATTATTTTTTTACTCTTCTCCTCTTTTTGGTTTTTTTTGATGTTTTTCTAACTGTATTTTTTGCTATACTTCTTCTCCGTATTTCGTATGTAACTTCTCTCTTTCCCGGTCATGTTTTTTCATCGTATTTCTTGTGTAATTTCCTCCATTTCTTTAGTTTACATGTGTCTATATATAATATTACAAATCCTATTTTTAGCATTCTATGTAAACTAAAACTCCAGCTTTTGTTGCTTATTGACTGACTTTGGAGTCCCACAACACAACTTCGTTGTGCTGGTTGCCGAGAAAAGCGGCGTTGTTGGCGTGAGGAGAGGCGCGTGACGTGAGGAAAGACGTGAGAAGAGGGTTGCAAACCCTATCTAAATTGATTCGAGTCACGGGTTCGGGTTGCTCCAGTGGACCGGTTCGTGGGTCTTGGGCTGCCTGTTTAAAATGTACTGCTGGGTCTTATTTTGTGGGCTTGTAAACAAAATTAATAATATTAATATAATATATATATATATATATATATATATATATATATATTCTTTTTGCCCGAACGAAAGTAAGTGTCCACAGTTGCCCCTCTTTTTCCTTTTTCGTGTAACGAAAAATAGGACAAAGATAAAAAGGACACAAATTTTCGCCCGATTGAATTGATAATTGATTATGGTATTTCATTTAAGAATAACTCTCTGTCGAATTGAGCTGCAAATGACTCCTCCATCGCGAAGTCGAGTCCATCTTAAAATGATATGGAATTGAAGCCGTAATTCAGAATTTGAATCGGAATGTGGCTTCTCGTTACCATATTGTAATCAACTTCGGTCTTCTTCTCGATTTAAAGACATTGGTTTAAAAATTCGACTGGAAAATAGTTCCTTGACTCCACCATGTCGTTGATAGGCCCTTGAGCTGAACGAAATCAAACTCGAAAGTCTTCGTTGACATATAGTTTTTCTCGACTTAATCTATGCTGTTGGAAAATGGTTTCTTATCACTAAGGCACGACTAACCGAGGTATTCTTCTTGACTTAAGGACCTTGATTTAAACTTTAGCCGGAAAGTAGTCGATAAGTCATCGAGCTGAATGGAATCGAACTCGAAAGTTTTTGTTGACATATAGCTTTTCTCGACTTAAGCTATGCTATGAATTTGACATCCCCTTGAGCTGAATGGAATCGAACTCGAGGGTATTTGTTGACAGATATCTCTTCTTGCCTTGAGCCTTGCTGTAAATTTGATGTGCCTTTGAGCTGAGTGTAATCAAACTCGAAGGTCTTGTGGTGACAGATAGCCCTTCTCGCCTTGAGCTATGTTGTAAATTTGATGTGCCTTTGAGCTGAGTGTAATCAAACTCGAAGGTCTTGGTTGACAGATAACCCTTCTCGCCTTGAGTTATGCTGTAAATGATGTGCCTTTGAGCTGAGTGTAATCGAACTTGAAGGTCTTGGTTGACAGATAACCCTTCTCGCCTTGAGTTATGCTGTAAATGATGTGCCTTTGAGCTGAGTGTAATCGAACTTGAAGGTCTTTTGTTGGCAGATAACCCTTCTTGCCTTGAGCTATGCTGCAAATGATGTGCCTTTGAGCTGAGCGTAGTCAAACTCGAAGGTCTTGGTTGACAGATAACCCTTCTCGCCTTGAGTTATGCTATAAATAATGTGCCTTTGAGCTGAGTGTAATCAAACTCGAAGGTCTTTTGTTGGCAGATAACCTTTCTCGCCTTAAGCTATACCGCAAATGATGCTCCTTTGAGTTGAGTGTAATCGAACACGAAGGTCTTGGTTGACAGATAACCCTTCTCGCCTTGAGTTATGTTGTAAATGATATGCCTTTGAGCTGAGTGTAATCTAACTCGAAGGTCTTGTGTTGCCAGATAGCCCTTATCGCCTTGAGCTATTCTACAAATGATGTGCCTTTAGTGTAATCAAACTCGAAGGTCTTTTGTTGGCAGATAGCCCTTCTCGCCTTGAGCTATGCTGCAAATGATGCGCCTTTGAGCTGAGTGTAATCGAACTCGAAGGTCTTTTGTTGGCAGATAGCCCTTCTCGCCTTGAGCTATGC